ACTCACCTGCAATCGGAATCCAACGTCCCTTCGGACCCGTGACGGGTTTCTTCAGTACGGTCGGTCAGAACATTCTGTTTCCTCCTTCAAGGGCACATCTCCAATTGCCAGCACAAATGGCTGATGGAATTTATTCTCCGCTTCCGTCCGACCAGTCCAGCTTTTGCAAACGTCACTCCAGTAAAATTTAATGGTTCCAGTCAACGTGGCAGTCAACGTGGCAGTCAACGAAACACCTCCTCCAACCGCATCCACTTCCGAGGACAGCTTTTTCCGAAACGGTGTCTAGTTCCGTTGCACCGTGCACTTTCCACTGTCGGGGAGAAGCTAAAGATCGCGACACCATGTTTACCGGTTCGAATCAGCAATTCACACACAAAAAAAAAACACAAATTAAAATCAATCCGCACCATCGCCGATTTCACTTTCACTATCGTGATCTGGGGGGGGGGGGCGTGCTGTCAAATCAGCCTACTGATCATCTTGTATGAAACTGGTTCCAAACGTAAACAAACGCTGTAGGTTTCTTTTTTTTTTTGTTTGACGTTGTCATTGATGACAGGCTGAGGCCGACGTCGGCCCATCTCGCCCTGTAGGTTTCTTATGGCTTGTTTACGTTTAGAACCAGTTATGCGAGGTAGGCGACGATTGTTCGTATTTGACAGCCACCTCCCCCCCTTGATCGTGATGCGCTTTCCGTTTGACTGATAATTTTGTAAACATTGTTTTGATAGGGGTGTGTACGAGCTTAAAAAGCTGAACGTACGCAGCCACTTTTTTGTAGGGATGTTATTCTGCGTCATTTTGCGATGTTTTGCTCCCGAGTAGCGAGGGAGTGTTAAATGCGTGACGAGTGATTCGCCTACAATATTAATTCTGTTCTCTGCGCTCTGATATGAGTGAACAGATGATGTTATCGAATTATTTTTTTTTTTTCGCATATTTGATATGGCGATGGAATTGTTCTGGGAGAAAAAGTAAAAGGTAGTTTTATTTCCTAACCAAAGTTAGGGAACCAGGTTGATAGCAACTTTTAATCAGTCTAAACGGTAGTTTGGGATTGCGCTTCATGTTCGGAGATTGGAATATTGGCTACATATGCGTGTTTATTCTGACGCCAAAAAGCGATTTTGACATTTAGGTTTTTCGGAAGGATTCAAAGATTAAGATGAAATACAGTATTAACCCGATTTTGACAACATTTTCCCCGACTCCGGGAAGAATGTAACCACCGGATTTGGTTACATTACCACTTGGTCAATGGGCCAGCTTGATTTCACTGATAATATTGTAAATAAAATGTATATATTGTCAGTAAATGTCTAAATGTGAAATAATGTGTCAATTTTCCGTTGGTGTACGTTTGAGAGACTCGTTAGTTCATGTTTAATAGCCGTCGGTTGGTGTCAAGTAGTTTTTCTTTCATTTTGTCTATGTCATTAAATAAATTTAAATCCAGTATACATTTTGAGGTACTATATGTGAATTTGTTTATCCAAGACACCAACCTGTATATATATATTTGTTATAAAATGCTGTCTGTTCCTGTCATCCTTGCTGTTCGTCCGTGTTAGTAAGTCTATTGCATACATGCGCAGGAAATTGGAAACTATGGCGGTTGGGAGCACATATAAGGCTGGGGGCAGACATTGGCAAGAGGATTATCAATAAAACAGTGATCGGTGTCGGTAGGAGTGCGCGTAGGCAGCGTCGTCGCAAGTCCAAGCGCGACCAAGTATTCAAGAAGTTTTTCAAGCTCGTGACAAAAGTGAACGATCGATCGTGTAGGGTCAGCCGGAAGCACTTCAACGTAAAAATTCCCGGCTGTAGCCCTTAGTAGCAGTGAGTTCCTTCTTTGAACCGGTCCTGTGAACGCAGGCCATCCACTACCACGGCCGAGTTGCCATTTTGTTGTCCGAACAGCTACCGTAAGAGCTCCCAGCAGCCCGCCAGCCTCATCGAAGCCAGCCCGGCTGCAAATCACGGCCGCAGCGGTACCGCAAGTAACAGTACTAACCCCAAAATTTGAAAAAAAAAAATAAAATGTAAGGTCAAAAGTTCAAATCTAAGTTGTGTTCATTATTGTTAAAGAAGTCTTCCCAGATAACCAGATATCGTATATGAATCCATATTTCAAATCGTAAATGAATAAACATTAAATCAGAATTGTATATCCTTCGAAACAAAGTACATTTGTTGTAATAAAAAAATCAATCTAACGATCATAACTGATTTTAAAACGACTTTATATATGGATCCGTTTTGAAGTATACTTGAAATCCGCACATGTACTCAGAAAATCTTAAAACAATCGTTTAATGAATGATATATAGTCATAGGACAATAAGTGCTCAAGATCATATTATGATACAGCGATAATCTTAACTAAGTTGACAAGTCATCATATATAATTCGAATTAAAGTTTCATCTACAATTAAGTGCACTATTAGCCGCAACACTTGTTGTTGCTGATTTCATTTGTGTATATGAGAAGTAACCGTCATAACTGTTACAACTACGAGGCGTTAACATGTTTAACATAATTACGAAAAACAAATTGAAGAAAATAAGAAAACGTGGTACTTACAGTCGCTTGCTAAGAAAACATTGTGATCTTTATAAGGAAGCTTTCTTAAATACTAATTTCGCCAATACCAACGATCAGGATAGTGTCGTGAATACCACTTACCAGACTAGTGTACCAGAAATTGTTCAAAATCTCACAGAAGACATTTATACGCACGATGAAAATATGTTTACTCATGAACATGACCATGAAGGTAAACGTACAATATGCTTTTATAGTTGTAACTTCTTTTCTAATATGAATTTGTAGTCGAAAGAGATATCGTTTCAGATATTCGAAAGTGGTCAACTGATCATCAAATTTCACAGTTAGCATTGAAATCACTCATAGATGTACTCAATACTAACCTAGGACTAGATCTTCCAAAAGATCCGCGTTCAATCATGAGGACACCAAGAAACTTGCGAATTCGTGCAATGGGCGAACATGGTCAATATTGGCACCAAGGGTTCGAGATGTGCTTCAAGAGGATATTCTGTGATATAACAACTCCTATGTCTGTTTCGGTTAATGTGAACATCGACGGTTTACCCATCTACAAAAGCACAACGAAGAATTTCTGGCCAATCTTATGCAATATCCACGAGTTTCCTAGCATTCAGCCAATCGTCGTAATGAATTCTTAAATCCCTTTATTGACGAACTCCTTCCGCTGTTGGAATCCGGAATCGCCATAAATGGACACAAAATGACAGTTAACATTCGTTGCTTCATATGCGACACCCCAGCCAGATCATTCATCAAAGGAGTAATAAACTTCAATGGGAAAATATGGTTGTATAAAATGTACTACAAAAGGCCGATACAGCCACATTTCAAGGACCATGACATATCCACAATTAGATGCACCAAAAAGAACTGACGAAGAATTCCGTTCGATGGCATATCCAAACCATCAGCGAAATAGCACACCATTGGTAAAATTACCAATTGATATGATTAGAGATGTCATTGTAGGAGATTCATTGCATTTGCTAGAACTAGGTGTGATGAAAAAACTTCTTACTAGTTGGCGTACGGGTTCGATGTCCAGGAACACAAAGTGGAGTTGTGCTCAGAAGAAGGAAATATCCAATATTCTAGTTAATATTAAATTTCCTATCGAAATTCATCGCCAAATGCGGTCACTAGACTATGTCGCTCTTTGGAAAGGACTGGAGTACCGACATTTTTTGAACTATGTTGGCATAGTTTTGCTGAAAGATTACCTCCATGAGAAAAACTATGACCAACAATCAATACGAAACTAACGATTTTAAATTGGCTCACCACTTTAGTAGCCTATTGGTCCCAAGCAAACGATTAACGTACCCTATTCTAGTTGAAATTCTATTACTACACTATGTTTGTTTTGATTCGCTATGAAAGTTTGACAGATAACATCAGGGGTGTGTGGATTCATGCAGAACATGCAGGGGTGAGTGAAATAGCTTGCGACTGCTTGGGACCGTTGTTCTGGTACTGAGTGAGCCAAAAATAATAATGATTTTCTTCGGGACCCAGTGGTCTTAGAGATACCTCTATGCTATGACCACTTTATTTTCCTTTTTTGTGCAGTTCGAATTTGTTACGCTCACAAATACGGGAATCTTATTCCAGTAGCTAGATCATTACTGCTGGATTTCATTGAAAACTATAAATCATTATACGGTTGTTGAATACCTAACTAGCAATGTTCATAACCTATGTCACATAGTCGATGAAGTTGAACATTTTGGACCGTTACCATGTCTCTCTGCGTATCCATTCGAAAACTACATGCATTCCTTAAAAAAGTTAGTTCAAACAGGGCCTAATCCATTGGCACAAGTTGCAGCTAGAATATCAGAGTCAATGATTGCTGCTAGCTCCAAAAATGCAAAGTTTTCAACAAATCAGAAACCATTTCATGTAACAGTCGAACAAAAAGGACCAAAAAATAAATTAATATTTTCAAATTTCACGCTTTGCAATGATTTCAAAGACAAATGGTTTTTAACAAAACAATTTGAACTAGTAGGCTTTTCAGGAAGTATACATAAAGAAACAGAATTGCTCATTGAAGGTCAGAAAGTTAAGTTTAAATGCGATTTATTCCAAAAACCGTTCAAATCATCGTTTCTTCATATTTATATTACGAAGCTTAATTCAGGAAACTTATCTAAAACAAGTTATTATAAAAGCAATAACCTTTTTGCAAATTAGTGCCACTCATCAGAAACGAAGGGGTGGTATTTATTCCTTTAATCCATACTATTCAGTAACGAAGATTCAATTGTGAAATCGTTGGTATCAAATAAAGTATTTAAAAATGTATTTGTTGTGTCTTTTGCTTGTTCATTTTTATTTATTTGTTTTATGTTACAGATAACAATGGATTGAAAAAAATAATCTTCTGTTCCCTCCTCATATTTTCAACAATCAATCATAAAATCATTCATCTTCAGTGCTACTTCCGGTTTCACTTCCTCCGCTGTTTGACTCTACTTCATCCTCTTCGCTTTCACCATCCGAACTATCACCAGCATCCTGTTTGACGTTTTCGGAAACATCAGTGTCATTCGAGTTTTGTGAAATCTCCTCGTTTGCTGTGTCGAGAGTAGGTGCGTTAGACTTGTGGCCGTGTCGTTGTCTACATGCTGACTTACGAAGCTGACGATTGGTGGACCGGGATTTGCAATAGCGAAATAAGCGATTTCGACAAAACATTTCCAGTTTATTTGCAGTATACGATGGATCTCCAATCTGTACAATACTGCAAAGAAGTTGGGTCACATTTCCATATTCACGGAAACCCCTTTTCGCTTTATTGCTGCCGCTGATTCCAGTCCATGTCATCTTTGTCCAAAATTCACGTGTGAACAGGCAATCGACTACGGTGTAGCAAACGTTGCCTCCTTTGTCGTTGTAGGCATCGGCGATGATAATCTTCGGAAAGTATTCCAACTGAAAAGAATAATTTGTAAATGCGTTTACATATTTTTTTTGTTTTCAAAGAGAAACGTACTTACATATTTTCGACACAACTCTTCGTTGTTTAGCTTTATGTTCCACTTGATTAGCTCGTCTTCAGTGTTGATACGGGAATGCCTCTCCACCGAATCACCAGGTTTCAGTTTTTTGGAATCATCCTTTCTTTGAATTTCCAACAAGGCAGCAAAGCGGGCAAAGTTGATTTGAAAGCTTGTTTCAACCACTTTCTCAACAGTCGCTTCGATGAACACCTTCAAGTCAGCCTTCATCTGTTCGTAGCTCATCGATCCTATTAAATTTAAGAAAAATAATTAACCACTGTTATTGTTGCAATAATTCACACCCCTGCCCCTGCATTTACCTGCTATTTGAAGGTTGGCCATGTTGGCGTTCTCAACTGAAGGCGTAAAATACATGACACCATCCTGATCTACGTATAGGGGCTCAGAATCATATTCTACCGGATGTGTCGGAGACGATCCTGTAAAAAGAAAAAGAAAAAGTAGATGTCCAATCCTTATTTACAACTAATATCTTCATAAAATACCCGTCAACATCTTAGTTGTGATAGGTAGCTGGTCCATTGGAACATGACTGCTTGACCCCACTTGTTGCACTGACTGAACTGAAATTGGCAGCACGCCGGAGGCGATATTCGACTGCATAACGAGAGCAGGATTAGGTTGAACGGATTGCATAGTAGCAGCAGTCGAATGTAGAAGAGCAGCAGCGTTCAAGTTTTCAGCCGAATACATAAGCTCAGCAACAGTATCAGGAGCAGTAGCAACATTGGAAAGCGCAGAAGCAGTACCAGCATTTCGTTGCATAATCGCAGCAGCAGTTGGGAGTTGATACGGAGAAACGTTTTGATACCTGGATGACATGGTACCAGGATGCCCAGGAGCCAGGGTGCTTGGAATCTTTGCAAAAGCAGCATTTAGTTGTAAGAGTTCAGCAGTGTCCAAATTCTCATCAGGAACGTCATCATCATGCACGAGTATAGTGGCCTGAGGATGCAGTGCTGGTTTTCCATGTTTTGCTGAATTTTCATTAGCGTCCGAAAGAACTTTCCGCTTCTTACGACTACAATCTGAAAGGTTGGATTTGTTTTTATTCATTTGCACTACCAAAAACCTGTAAAAACGTCTAGCTTACCTTGCACCATCATGTTGTAATCTTTTGAGGTTACTGGCTTCGGCTTTTTGGTCGGTTTGAGGCGCTTCCGCTTGCTATCTACATCGGATATTTCCCGCTTCGAGAGCTCCTCAGCTGCTCCTTCCGCCAGGTGATGTTCTTTGAATGTTTTGTAAACAATAACAGCAATCTTTTTTGTGGGTCCATTATACTCCTGTCCGCTGACACGCAGGGCTTCAATCTTCACATTCGGGAGTTTTGACCAAAACAGAAAACTTTTCTTCACCCATCCAGATGGCACAGCCATCACTTTGAATTTTTGGTTTTCGATGAACTGGACAACAGAATACATCTGAAATCAATTAAAATGATTTAAATTTATACTTTTTCACGATTCGATAATGATGCTTACCTTCTCGGGATTGATCAAATTAAAACACACTCAGAAACAAACAAGGATGAAACATTGCTGCAAAAAACGGCGCCGATTCAACTTAATTTGTTTACTTCGATTTGTCAGAGCTGCCAGTATTATTTATGGTAATTTCCAGTTGAGTAAATTTATCAATTATTTTAAATGGATGTGTCTTACGATTGTAGAGGCATTTATTTATGCATTTCACAAAACTTATTATATATTTGAATAAATTCAGAGTTCTGCTTTCATAATGTAATTAAATCATCACAAATTTAACATTATATACAGAAACCATTGTGAACATGTTTATATGAAAATCGGCATCACTGTTAGTTATGGAACACACATTCATAATTACGTTTAATTTGAATCACATTATATCGTAGGGATGTGTGAACAAAATCAGATTATTGGTAAAGAGATACTTTGAAAAGAAATACGATTGCAAATGTGTTATTTGCCAAGTTAGAGTGGATGATGTGTCGATATATTGTATTTCACGCTGAAGGGAATATGGTAAATGTCGTATAAGGAAAATCATGGTCTATTTTTAGAACTAGTGAAATCATGTACATCTATGAATAAAATTTTAATCTGAACATCTTTCAGATTTGGTGCGGTGTTATTGTGCGGACCCAACACTCATGACGGTGAGGATTCAAATCCATGTTCAAGCTATAGAGATTGCTAAAGTATGATTGTGTAAGTGATTTGTATTCATCGGGAAAATTTTCCGCTATGAAGTTTTTTTTTCCCGATGAAAACATTTTGCGTATACGTATACGTGACGCACACTACGTACGACAAACGTCAGCAATCTCTATATAATATGTCATTAAAAATAAAGTTTCACATATGCTACAAATAATAAAACTTCATCTTACACAAACATAACATAGTGTACATCCCATTCATGAGTATTAACGTCATTTTTTTTTTTTAATTTTCTACGCCACCATTAGTCGTAAATAATATCACAGCGATGTCACATAGTATCATATAAAAAAATAAACAATCACAAACTAAATCGTAATTCATGTGCTTTGACATCACAAGTCATCATGTATCATATCAGTTCAATGCACCTTATTTCGTTAAGTACGTATATGGCCTCCACTTTGGTGGGCAAATAGGCTTTCTATGCATTATTTACGATTTTAGTATGTTGTATATACATATGTATATATTTAATTATACGGACCAAATTGTTGACTGGGTTTTGTCCTTCATTGTTCCATTTAACTATTAATTGTGTTGAACTTCGCCCAGTGACCAAGTGTGAATAGGGAATAAAGTAACCCCTAAAGAAATTCTCCGACGGACCACCATAAGACCCTGATAGCCAGGGCAACTAGCTGCAAAAGAGGCCTTTGTCGTGCACACCCCAGTTGGTTGCCGTGGCTAGACCAGCAACCGGTGGCCTTTCATCCCAGGGGCCCATCTGGCCCCTGACTAAACAGCTAGTTACACATTCTAAGCAGCGCTTTGGCAATGGCTTTCCAGCTGCGCTGTTGCACCCATTCTTGACGTCGATCGTTATCACGGCTAAATATCTCCACGTCGCTTCTGTTTAGACGACTTCTCGGCTCTCTCGACCATTGTCAAATTGCATCCATCGTTGATTCCGGAATCCAAACTGCCTCTCCGACAATCCAAAACAAAAGTTTATAGGTCTGATTAGGTTGAAACATTGTACTTTTCAATTGACGATGTTGTTTATCTCCGTTGAATTCAAGAATTTGGGATGACGAAATCTCTTGAAAATTATAATTCTATTATTCTTAGTAGTAGAATAATAAATAAATGTAAATTAATTGGATGTACATTGGATGAAAGACCTGTACGTTTTATTTATTGGTATTTGAATAAAAATGCATTTAAAATCGTCAATTATTTATTTTACCCCGTATGCACATTCTATTCTCGCTTCCCCTAACATTCACTTATCAGCAAAGTGTAAGAATAAAAATTATTCACAGCATAATGTTTGAGAATTCATGATTAATAACTCAAAAATATAATGAAATCTGCAGGCTGTAGTGCTGTAAATTTTCATATCATTCGATTGAAGAACAACCAATACAACCATTCAATCAATTTTTTTTTTATAATGCGTTTATTTTTCCAGGCTCATTTGCTGTAGCTTTGCGGAGCCAATATTCATTTTTTAAATTACAAAATTACTTAAAACTAAAATTAGTAAAGCGGGGGCCGATTACTCGCGGCTATCTCGAGGTTAGGGGTAAAAAATTGTAACAAATGGATGGCAGGGTAGGGATTGTGGACACAAGGTTTGGAGAGCAATGTGCTCTTGATCTCGAACTAAGCGACACTCTGATGAAAAAGACAAACATGGGGGTACACCGATGGGCAGCTAACAACTTGGGAGAACACAAGATGACACTAACTACTAAATCCTTAAATCTATCCGTTTTAAAAACACATAAATTAAATTCAAATGGTCGAGATCTCGGCTCACCAAGATATCTCTAACGCTTATCGCGGGTTGTTTTCCTCGGGCCCTGAGGGATGTGGATGACTCTGATCTGGCAACACGGTGTAAGGTACATGACCAAACAACATGCTCGATATCGTGATAACCACTGCCACCATTGCAAAAATAATGAGGACTTGCTGACAAGCAATGGGGAACAATTCGTTGAAGGCGATTTGTCGCTCAAAAATATCGCCTTCCATAGTCAGTGCTGTTGACAGCAATGTCCATTGACGTAAGATATTGGTCGAGCACTGAATTTCACTTCCGACACTGATATTTCTAGTAGGCATGATATCAGGCAGTACGGCTTTGATAATATTATATCATCAAATATAAATATAAATATCACTAGGGAAAAGTTGAAAATATAACTTTTATCTCAATAAATCAACTTTTTTTGTGTAGCCGGTGCTTTGTTTTAATATTACTGATGAGTTTTCTAAACATCGGTACTCGATTAGCTGGCGTATATAAGAACAATTTAAGGTAGAACTTTGAATATCAACGGTTCCTTTATGATGTCAATGTCATGTGCGCACTGACATTGAGGCAAATGATATTGATATTTTAACAGTCTGAACTGATAGTGACACCTTAGCCAACGAGTCCGCTTCCTCATTACCCGGAATTGAGCAATGAGATGGGACCCAAGCTAAGGTAATAGTATAGGAGCAGTTAGGTTCAGGTAGGAAATACGAGGAGTGCTTCATCGGCCTCATTGAACGAATATCCTCCAATGAGCTAAAACTATCCGTAAAAATGAAATAATGGTCAGAAGGTAGTGAGGCAATTCACTCTACTGCGTAAAATATAGCTGCGAGTTCCGCAACGTATACGGAGCATGGTGTCTGCAGTTTAAAGGAGACGCTATGAAATTGATTAAAAACACCAAATCCAGTGGAAGCATTTATGGTTGACCCATCTGTGAAAAATCTTTTAAAGTTACTTACATGGTGGTTCTTGATTGCAAACATTGAGAGAACAACCATTCCGATGGTGATCTGGTATTCCATGGATTTCTTGCATCATGGTCAGATCAAAATTTACAGAGGAACTATAGAAGGTAGGAAAGCAATCACGATTGGAGACTAATGAAGAAGGACCAATCTCCAGCGTCATGTACTCATAGTACAAACTCATGAATCTTGTTTGAGGATTTCGGTCGAACAGCTTCTCAAAGTGTTCTATTACCAAAGGATTCACCACTTCACAACGGATGAGAAACCGGAAAGACAGCTCAGCGAAACGATCTGTCAGTGGGAGAACACCTGCGAGTACTTCGAGGCTCATCGTATGAGTCGAGTGCATACAGCCTAGCGCAATACGAAGGCAACGGTATTGAATCCGTTGCAGCTTAAGGATGTGTGTTTTTGCTGCGGATTGGAAGCAAAAGCTGCCGTACTCTAAAACCGAAAGGATGGTTGTTCGGTACAACCTGATCAGATCTTCCGGGTGTGCTCCCCACCAAGTTCCGGTAATTTTACGAAGAAAATTAATCCTTTGCCGGCATTTTTGTTTCAGATACGCAATATGTTTTCCCCACGTGCATTTGGAATCGAACCAGACACCCAAATACATGAAAGATATACTTTGAGTGATTGTTCTACCCTTTAGTTGAAGCTGTAACTGTGCAGGATGATGCTTCCTAGAAAAAACAACCAACTCAGTTTTCTCCGGAGAGAATTCTATACCCAGCTTCATAGCCCAAGTAGACAAATTGTCTAAGGTATCTTGCAATGGTCCTTGCAGGTCCGGTGCACTTGGCCCTATAACGGACATAACGCCGTTATCTGCAAGCTGCCTTAGCGAGCAATTTTCATCAAAACAACCATCAATGTCTTTTACATAAAAATTTTAAAGAAGGGGGCTTGAACATGAACCCTGGGTTAGACCCATGTAACTAATTCGTGAAGTTGTCGAGTTTCCATGAGAAAAGCTCATATATTTCTCAGACAACAAGTTGCTCAAATAGTTGTTCATAATTGGTGAAAGCCCACTATCGTGGAGTTTATCCGAAAGGACATCGATGCAAACAGAATCAAAAGCCCCCTTAATGTCCAAGAAAACTGAACCCATTTGCTGTTTTTGTGCATAGGCCAGTTGAATTTCAGTTGAAAGCAACACAAGACAGTCGCTCGTTTCTTTGCCTCTCCAAAATCCGAAATTCCGTATCAGAAAGTAAACCATTCGACTCGGCCCATTTGTCTAGACGAAAAATAATAATTTTCTCCAATAATTTCTGTATACAGGACAGCATCGCGATGGGACGGTACGAGTTACAATCCGACCCGGGTTTACCGGGTTTTCGAATGGCTATGACTCTTACTAGCCTCCAGTCATCCAGAACAATGTTGTGCTCCAGAAATTGATTAAATAAGATCAACAAGCGTCT